GTTTCAGGCTGGACATAAGGAAGAATTTCTTTACTGTCCGAGCCCCCGAGGTCTGGAACAGCTTGCCATCGGAGGTGTTTCAAGCACCTACATTGAACACCTTCAAGAGCAAATTGGATGCTTATCTTGCTGGGATCCTATGACCCCAGCTGACTTCCTGCCCTTTGGGCATGGGGCTAGACTCAATGATCTTCCGAGGTCCCTTCCGGCCCTAATGTCTATGAAATCTATGAAAACCTTGGCGCCTACTAAACCACATCAGAAAAACAGTTATCCCTGGGAACACTTGAGGAAAACTGCCTTCATGGACCCAGATCCATGGTGTTTCCCCTGAATGATACTAATCCAAAGCAAAATGTTTGTGATTTACCATATGGCTCACTGGACTGAGCCCCACAAAAGTTAACAGCATTTCAAGCCATGGTGACCCCACAGCTCAGTACTGCTCAGTACGTGTGTGTACTCCATAACCCACCACAAAGGATCCATTTGCTAATCAGCCCCCAATGTCCTCAGATACTCTAAAAATGCATATGCAGATGAGGTACAGGGCAAACTGGTCTGGCTTTACCTCATGGAGGCTGGGGCCACAATAGCCATATGCACCAGGATGAGAAAGGAGACAACAGAGGGATTCTGGGTGAACTGTTTGGGTCCCTGTGTCATGATATCTGCCCAGCATTTAAGCTGGTGAACAAACAGGAAAAATTGGAAATGGGAAAAAAAGGCACAGCTCAGCTTTGGGTGTGAAGTGGAGTTCAAAATGTATGGAATGGGTTACCATACTTCCAATTTCAAAAAAGCAGACACCTGTGGGAGGGGAAGGAGAGGAGAAAGGGATATGATGGGGGGTAGCGATGTGCCCCCTACCCCCCGCAGCCCTGCTACTGCCCACACTCCTGGCCCACAGCCTCTGCCCCCAAGCTGTGCTGGTGCCCTGAATTCCTGACCTGCAGCCCCCTGCCCCACCAGCCCTGCCACTGTCCCGCACTCCCAACCCACAGCCCCCTGCTCCTTCCCAGCTGTGCTACCCACCAGCTTGCTCGCTCACACACACGCAGCTGCCAGCAGCTGCCGGGGCCCACACGCAAAGGACATGATCTCCTGACAGCCAGTCAGCTTTCCCTGCTGCCCCCAACCCCAAGGAAAAGCAGACGCAAAACAAAAACTCAAGACATTTGCTGGCATTTAAAAAAAAAAACACCCAGATGGAGGACAAGGGGTCAAAAAAAGAGGACATGTCCAGGAAAACCCAGACATATGGTAACCCTATTATGTCTTACCATGACTTGAGAAGGTCAATAGTGAGGAGTACGCTTAATGGGCACTACCACATATCTTATTTAGATGGCTACACTAACCTATCCTTGTGGTAGGTTCCCATCAGCATGTTTTCTAAATATGGTCCATGTGTTTTATAGTCATGCTCAGTGTGGGCTGCATTTAATAAACTTGATAGCTTGTTTCCATTGCTGAGCACATTACTTTTAGCTGCAGCTTAATAATAGACAATGTATTTAGGGACATTTCCTTGTATGCGATTGTAAGAGGTGGGACTTTTTCCCCCATGCCAATTGGGAGGGGCACCCTGTCTTGTAATCGAGTAAATATGGTAGAGTCAGAGATCTCAACAGAGGTCATTCTCATCTTACTAAATACTGAGCCCAACTATAACTGAAACTGTAATTGTGAATTAGAATAAACTGTTGCCATGATACCAAGTCAAAAAAAAAAAAAAGAAATCACTGGTCCATTATAGCAATATATAGCACTCTCTGGCTGAAGGAAACCATGGGGAAAAGAACACCTTCAAGACAGAAATAATAGCATGCAAGATACTGCCTACCAACCTAAACCCAAAATCTATAAATATTACTGGGAAACTGAAGTCATCATGAGACATACTTAAGAATGTCTTTTTAAAAACAACAACCGCCCCCCTCCTCCCCACAAAAAAACCAAATAAACCCACTGCTCTCTTTTTACAAAGGATTAACATATTAGCTGGTAATGTGTATACTTTGTATGGAAACATGACTTTATCAAGTCAAATCATAGGTGACTGGTAGGGGGTACACAGGGGTCACATGCCCCCCCCGACAGAGCTGGTGCCCCCCCCAACTCTGAGGGCCAACACTGATGCTGTCAACAGGGCTAGTGCCCCCCATGACAGGGCCACCACCATTGGCGGCTTCTGCGGATGCCCTCCCAGATTCAGGAGGCACCAGTCACTCATGAGTCAAATAGGGTAAACAAAAGGATTCAGACACAGGAGGGCTAGGGAGCAGAGGAGTCCTTTCCAAAGCTTTCTTGGCCAAGACTGCATTCTCTCAAAAATGCCACTGCCTATTAGGAAATCATCATAATGAAGCTACCAGAAACACGTTAGATATTCTGATATAGGCTATTTGTAGTTGAACAAAATTTTTTGGAAAAACAAGTTGGTTAGAGAAGCAGTAAACTCTAGAACCATGCCAAAAGCAGCTAAGTTTAAACAGTTTTATCATAGTATAAAAATACCCTGAAGTCTTCCTTTGAAGGATGTTATCATAAGCCATATGTATATAGTCATGTTTCTTCACCCTGGAAAAATGGAGCCCCATAACATTTTTTCTCTGTGAGCTTGTATGACATTTAGATCAGACTGTGATAGGTCAACATAAATCCTTAAGCACAGATTTAATGTGTAATGGTAGTGACACAAGATATTTTTAAATAAGCTATCATTGTTATGTTAAAAACTCTCCTGTGACTGCTCCGGTCTTCTCTATTGGAGGATCATACTCTACCTATACTGAGGTGGGGGTGGTTTCAAAACCTGAGACCTGTCCACATTTTCATATTTCTCTAGGCAACACTTTTCCTTCACACACAATATGTACTCTTTCTCTGCCTGTATTCTTTCTATTTTCTATGACAGTGGAACCCAACCTTTTTTGTGCTGCAGACTGGCACCGGAGCTGCCTCCCTCCCAGGAGCTGCCCTGCCCCCCACCTTTAACCCTATACGTCACCGCCAGTGGCAGAAACTGCTCACCTGGGCAGATAGATGGGGGGGGCTGAGCAGGGGGCTCATGCCATGACCCAGCAGCCAACCCTTCACGGCCCCGTACTGGATGGTCCAATGCAAGATCCACCAAAGTCAGCATCAGGCCCCACATACAACATCCTCATAGTGGGCTAAACAAAATCAACTATTAAGCTCTGCAAAAACACTGTAGGACTGAATCCCTTTTAAATCTGATATGAAATGCAGTTGCTTAAGCCAAATGTTTCATCCATTCACTTTGTGACTGGCATGCACTAGCTTTCATGCATTTAAATATATACATATATTTTTATATATTTAAAAACGCATGCACACACACATATATACATACACATACACACACAGTAGTACGCAGAACAACAAATTTGAAGATTCTACTCAGAAGTGAATACATTTCAGATTCTGAAATATTATCTACCTTCTGATATTTCAGGACTCTCGCTCCATTCGGTTAATGGGCTTTTAACAGCATATCATTTCTATAGTATGCCTGGCAAAGTATTTTAAATGTTTCCATTGACTTACGCATAAAACCAACCCCCTTTTAATCTAGCAGAATTATGGGCCATCAAAATATATGGATTTTTGTGAAGCCATATCACAATGAGTTAATTCATTTGCTTACACAAGTCATGTCTCATGTATGGCTACATCAGTCAAATATGACCTTGTGTGAACAATAATACACAAGTTTGAAGACATTTCTATTTTCTCTAGTTTAAAGTCAGCTGTCAGCAATCATTTTAAGCAGTGAGTCAGTGACAAAGGTAGGCAGGCACTAGGACACTGGCACTTCTCTCTGTGGTAAGCTACTGCTTTCAAAGCCCCTCTGTCAAATGTCACTAAAGCCCAACATCTGGGGGTTGGATCAAATGGCTCCCTAGCCTATGGACCATAAGCAGGCAATCCCTGGTTGAAGCCTTTAGCATGACTACAATTGCAAGAGTATTTGAACTATAAACCTGGTATTGCAATGGCTAGCAACTATGCTGCAAAAGTGTTGTGTATCCTCAAAAACTCCTGAAACTTTTTTATTTCCATACCCAGCAAATCTATTTTAAATGGTTTCAAACATAGATTTCTGTGACAGCTACAACAATACACAGTACAGGTTAACACAAAATCATCAGTCCAAAGGTCCTTATTGTAGCAGACAACCATCGATCCACTGGATCATGCTGTACTGTATATGTCAGAGATCTAGATGCCTAATGAATCTGTTTGTGGCTGACAAGTCCAATTCAAGAGCATCACAGCTTGTTACAAGTTTCACAGATCCATATGTTGTCCAAGTTGGCATCCAAATTTACAGCATGCTGTTTTCTTCTCTCTCGCTTTGCTTCCATCTGCAGGATCAAAGCTGCTTCATGTTGAGTTGCACCCAATGCCAGATGCTCCCTCCAGATTGGATGGGATTCTGTGCACTTCTCACAGCTTTATACACTGATGTTGAATGACTTCGTATCACTGTTGCACACAGAAAAGCTATTGCATGATTCAGAAAATCTGCCCAAGAGATTTTGCAGGGAAGGTTTGTTGTTGTCAGCCAAAGCCATGTTCCCCGCAAACAGCATCTCTCTTGAACCAGTTCTTTCACCTTGGTTTTCGCTCTAAACTTTGCAGAGCTGAACAAGTCTCCATCTAGTCTGGTTCAAACGTAAATGCCATCATTGTCATCCTTGAATGCATGAAGAAGCAGGAATGAAAAGTAGATGTTAAAATACCCAGGGGCTAAGACACACCCGTTTCACCCCGCTGTTGATGTCAAACTCATTTGATTCTTTGTGTTCATACACTACAGTTGCAATCAACAGTTTGGGGCTCCTTAATTTTCCATAATACTGAATAACAGGACATTGCATCAACAATCCAGCTAACGTCTTAGTACTGTCTACTGAGCTATTACTCCTACCAACACCAACACATTTCTTTTTAACAATTTTTCTTAATGTCCACCATAAGTTAACATGCAAATATATTACAAAACAAAACAGCATGTGAAAATACAGGTGTCTGGCAGCAAGTGAGAAATCATACCTAGCTTAGAAGGAAACATTTCAACATTCCTTTAAATATATCACACAGATGCCAAAAATATTAATCATCCTCCAGTTACTACAAATGCCTACATTCAACCACAATATATCAAATATAATCAAATAATCAATATAATTAAAACCAGGCAAATTCATTTGTTTAGCAAACCAGAAAAAACAGGCAAAAACTCAGTTTTAGTCTTAAACAGCTAAATGTCTTCCTACCAGTAAAAATGCAGCTGTACTAAGGTTTTCACCAGCATATATTTTAAGCAAACTACACTGCTGAGCGACAGTACTACAATGGCCAAAGTTTCTAGTTTAAACCCAATCTCAGTAATAGCATTCCTATGAAAGCCGAGGGATCTTGCACCATCCTTCACTTACTATGTAGCACAAGTGCATGCCTAACTA